CTGGTGATGGGGCTTCCTTAGGGGTGTTAAAACATGCCGCATCCCGTCCCGAGCCACTGAGGGTTCTTGCCGGCTCTGAGCTGATAGTTCCACAAGATGAATCGGCAGCATGGAACATCTTCACTTCTTTAAGCTGCCCAAAATATTTTCTACAACCGCAGATAACAACTTCTTCAAGATTCCAGGACTGGTTCGGCAGGGCCGGTAGTCTCACACAGAAGGTAAGATTAGCCAGATTAGAAAAGACATCTGGACTCGGCTCCTCCCCCTGCTCCTGCAGCTGTGCCCCTGGCAGCCCCTCTACCTTAGATCTGTCTGCAAGGTGAATCTGCTCTGTAGTCTGTTCCCCAGGGCTGTGTGTCTGCCAAGGGGACAGGAGGCACCAGTGTCTCTCCTTCTAGGACCTGAGATGCTGTTCTAGTCCCCTCGAGAGAACGGAACTAGCCAGCCCTCTGATTTTAGCCACAGAGGACAAAGCACTGAACTCAGTGTAAACCAAGAAGCCAAACTTACTATTTGTGGAGTGATTTTTAGTGAAAACACACAAAACTTTCCCCATCTCCATACATGTTATTCTCAAGTCCCTCTGAGAATAAAAGTTTTAAAATTAGTGTTAGTTGGACCATGGGTGACCATATGTAGTATGGTTTCGTGTGTATGAAATGTCCATAATAGGTAAATTTGTAGAAACAGAATGTAGATTTGTGGTTGCCTGAGGCAGAAGGGGTAGAGGGAATGGGATGAATGGGGCAGGGTGATCTCGAAAGGTGTGAAATTTCTTTTGAGGAAGATGAAAACACCCTCAAATAGACGTGGTGCTTGTGTCATGACTGACTATGCTAAAAAGCCATTGAATTGCATGGTATGTGAATTATATCTTAACAGACTTGTTACCCAAAACAATTTTTAAGTTAGTAATATTTTACTATATTAACCTATTTTATTTTATGTGCAGGCTAGTACTTAGCAATTAATCAGACACTACCAAATGTCATCTGAAAAAATCTCCCCGTCCTGTGTTGAACAAACAGATGGAGTTTGCTTTTGTAAAAATATGCTTGATGCAGTGGCAGCATACTTTATTAATCTGAAAAATAATACATCTGAGCAAATACGAATTGTGGGAAATGCAGCGCCCTTGAACTACCACATATTGGCGTGGGTCTTCATAATTTTCTGGAGGGTTTATTAATCAGGCTCCGTTAGCAGTCACTGGGGTGATGTGCAGGTGCAGGTCTCCCCATGAAGAGCGTAGCTGCAGGGATCACGTCTCTTCCATGTGATTCTAGACAGAACTGAAAACTCACATTATGATAACCACTAGTGTCCACTCAGAACAGGACTAACGCTACACGTGCATTCACCTCAGCTGGACATGTGGGCCAGCATGTGACTCATCTGGTGAGTATGAAAGAGGAAAAAAGGTGAAGACGCTGAAATGGAACAGCTAGAAGCAGTTAAGTCCTCTAGGAGACTCGGTTAGCATGTGCCATTGTCACGTGTGTTCAGTAAGCTTACAAGCATCCCCACCTCCCTAGTCATTACGTGGGGAAGTTGTTTAATGATGAATGATGGACTTATGCATAATGTTTAATGGGTCATTGCCTGTGGTGACTGTTCTGGATAAATAAGATGGTTCAGAGTTAATATTCTGGAGAAAAGAAAGCAAAGGGTGAAGTGCACTAGGATGATCATGTAAGCAACTTAAGGAGATATTTCTGTAGAAAGTTTAATGATTTTGACTTGGTGCCCGTGGCTCAGTGGTTAGGGCACCAGCAACATACACCGGGGGTGGTGAGTTCAAACCCAGCCTGGGCCTGCTAAACAACAATAACAACCGCAACCAAAAAATAGCTGGGCATTGGCTCGGCACCTGTGGCTCAAGTGGCTAAGGCGCCAGCCACATACACCTAAGGTGGCGGGTTCGAATCCAGCCTGGGCCCACCAAACAACAATGATGGCTACAACCAAAACAAGATAGCCGGGCGTTGTGGCGGGCGCCTGTGGTCCCAGCAACTTGGGAGGCGGAGGCAGGAGACTCACTTGAGCCCAGGAGTTGGAGGTTGCTGTGAGCTGTGATGCCATGGCACTCTACCCAGGGGGACAGCTTGAGGCTCTGTCTCAAATATATATATATATATATATATAGCTGGGCGTTGTGGTGGGTGCCTGTAGTCCCAGCTACCTGGGAAACTGAGGCAAAAGAAGCACTTAAGCCCAAGAGTTTAAAAGTGCTGTCAGCACTCTACCAAGGGCAACATAGTGAGACTCTGTCTCACCCAAAAAAAAGAATGTTTGATGATTTAGCGAAAGACATTTAATCACCTTCCCCCTCCAAGCAGATGATCTAGGAGAAATAAGAATAAAGCAAACCACTTGTAAGCCTAACAGTCAAAACCATGCTAGAAGGAGCCCATTCCACCCACTGAATTATTGTTGGACTCCAGGGTTCACAAGAACCTTAAAGGTCAATTTGACTATTTACATAAATACTGAGCTACAAAGAGGCAGAAATCTTTATAGTCCTGCTGCCGATGCCAAAAGTTAAAGCCAGCAGGTCTGGTGAGGCAGGGTGAGGGAAGGTGAGGGGAGAATGAATTACCTGCGTCTTCCCATTCGGGTTAAACCATGTTGACTGCCACACTAGAAAAAAAATTTTTTCCTTAGGTCCACAGTGTTTTATTAGATGAAGATAGGTCAAGAGACACGTGAGTTACATATGCTTCATGAGACCGCAGGCTCAAAACTAGTATAAGTTAAATACAACTTATATGGCAGTTAATGTGTTAATGTTCTCAGACACCATGTGTGGCCCTCGCAAGGTATGTTCCACAAGCAACACGGTGTCCCCCTGTAGTATACAATTAGTTCTCACATGCAAGATGAGAGGGAAATGACGTGTGTTCCCTTATCTCTGCGTTCTATACTTGATACCAAGAACTCAGATGCTTTACTTAGTTGGATCAACTGTACATATACCCTTGGCATGCAGACATTAATAACTGTATTCCATCTGCCTTTATGAGGAAGGTGCTTGTTTCCATAATTGAATTACTGTGCTGCTTAAAAACTACTTTGTGTTTTTTTGTTTGTTTGTTGCAGTTTGGCCAGGGCCGGGTTCGAACCAGCCACCCTCGGTATATGGGGCCAGCTCCCTACCCAATGAGCCACAGGCACCTCCCACTTTGTGTTTTATAAGTAGGCCTTTATATATGCATAGAAACACCTGAGCATAGGTCTTTGCCAACACTTGTTATTGTCAGTCATTTTTATTAAAACTGTCTTAGTGAGTGTAAAGTGGTCCTCATTGTGGTTTTGTTTTGCATTTCCTTGCAAAGATAGTCAGTATCTTCTCTTCATTTTCACCTCTCTTTCTCTCACTGAGGAATGGCCAGGGCTGGCGAAACAAAACTCAGTTGCTTATGCTTTCTTAAAGGAAGACACCGTATCTTGATTGTTTTTATATTCTCGACATCTAACGTAATGCCCAGCACATAGTAGATGCTAAATAAGTGTTTGCTGAATTTATGAATAGATGGATGAGTGAAGGAACGTGAATCATTCCAGTTCCCATTTTCTCTTGCCCACCTCCTTCCCAGAATTCCCTTTTTAAAAAAATATCTGTGAGAGTTTTAAAGCCCTGGAAGTGAATCATGGGTTGCATGATGCAAAAGAAACTAAAAAAAGCTTTGCTATTTAAACACCTAATCCTGTGCATTACCAAATCTCACTTTGAAGTCAGTTATCCGCCTTCTAAGAGGGAACGCTTTTCTACATTAAAGTCTGTGCAAATTAATTTCTAAGAAATGATGAAGAGGATTCCTTTTCTGCCGTTTACTCTATTCCTTTGTCTCTGAAAAGTAAGCCCTCACAGACCTAGTTTAATAAAAGGTCTATGAAAATGTCATGGTCAGTCATCAGTCATCTTAACCTAGCTAAGCTTTGTAAAAACCAAGAAGAGTTTACTGAGTCAAAACGTTCCACAAGGACCAGGATCAGGGGAAAGAACGATTTTGTCTTCTCAGCCTCTCCCTCGTCTTCACAGACCAGCAAACCATGCCTTGTTGGGATTTTTGGGTCTTATCTAAAACTAGGCACTTGTGTGGTGAATGGCTGATACACATAACACTGAACTTGCCCTCCAAATTTCCAGGGGATGGAAGGAGGGTCGACCTCTAAGGGAAAGGGGAGAAGCAAAGAAAAGATAGAAGGGGAATCAAGAAGCTTTGGGGGGTTTGTTTATAAACTTTAGCTTACTGGGTCAAGGAATCGAAACTAATAAAATCATTGTACGCTAATAAAGATTTCATGGGTAGAATTTTCTTTTTTTTTTCCTTTATAAATAAAACTCTATTATTCTGCACTACCCAGTGTTGTTGGGTTGTGTATCATGACATCACACATTTACCTACCTTATTTTAGGTGGGCTTATTCGTTCTACATAAAGTTAGCTCTCTATTTTTAGAACAGGACAAGTGTGACTTATACTACAGGACTAGAAGTTAAGAGATCTGGGTTTTAGTATCTGCTAATAATTTCCAATGTGACCCTGAGAAAGGTGACCCTCTGAACTCCTGTTTCTTCATCCTCCAGGACCTTTCCAGCTATAAAGTTGTCTGAATTTATTGCATGGTACTGTGATTCCAAAGTAGATCAGGTCTTTAAGAACTGGTTCTGAAATAAGCCTTGTGAAAGAGATACGGTTATCTAGAATTCATTATGCTCCGAGTGTGGCAAATCCTAGCTGCCCTACGTGATTCATTGCCTCTGTGGCCTTCCTACCATTCCCGCCTGCGTGGCAAGATTGAGCACTCCTATTTTTAAGGCATTCTGAAATGCCTGGCCTTGGCGTTAACTCTGTGAGCATAAGACAATTACCATTTGGTTTCAGGAAGTCTTTTCTGTCACCCCTTCCTCTTGGCAAACCAACTAGCTATAGGGTATCCTTAACTTTAATGTGATACCGCTTTTTCACATTCCTCTTTTTATCTCTTTTACAGGGTACATTCCCAGTTACCTAGACAAGGACGAGCTGTGTGTAGTGTGCGGTGACAAAGCCACAGGGTATCACTACCGCTGCATCACGTGTGAAGGCTGCAAGGTAATTATCCTGAGTCCACGAGCGTGGAGCTCAGCCTAGCTCCTATTCCCCACCCCCGCCAACACCCTATTGGATTGCAATGCTAAGTTCAAGTTCAAATTAAAACCAAATTTCACCACCCATGGCTCTGATCATCCAGGTATCTGGTGTGCTCTTCATTTTTGATATGTTCAAGAACTGAATTTTTATCCCAAATCATAAATAACTAAATGAAATTTATCAAAGTGTAAGGTCTGGTTTCTTTACCTCTGCCAAGTTTGGGGGGTTTTTAAACAGAAATAAAATCAATAAAATGAAAAAAAAAACTAACATAAGCTTTACTGCAGGTGTAAAAAACATAGATATTTTCAACATGTTTTTCCTCCCAAGAAATTACTCCTGGTTCATCTACAGCATTTGAGGAGACAGAGTCTATGTTACCACGAGCTGTTTCCCGCTGTTAATCTGAGTGAATATGCTCACTTCTAAGGATTCCAGTAGGGAATATTTTTGAGGCCACTTAGATTCAATTATGCTCTGAAATTACCCAAATTGGCTCTCTGCACAGCCTGTAGTTGGTACAATTCTCATCATCCATCAGCTCAGTTATGCTTTACAGACCCATCCTCAGGAAATACTTGACAAGAATATACGAGTGATCGACCGTCCGTATACTTCTCAAAAGGGAGCCTAAAATTTGCCTCCTTACAGCCTCCATCAACACAATTAAGATATGCTTCCTGGAAAACGTCTTTTAGTCCAACAACCTAACCTAGTAAATGAAGTCTATCAGAAAGGTAAATAAAGCTTCACCCAGCACTGTATCCAGTGCTTTACAAAGGAGAAAGTATTTGAAGTCAGGGAGGGGCTTTCCAGATTGCTTTCTTGTTAAATGTTTGATTTATCTTTTATATTTAAAAGTAAATGTTTGCATGCTATAGACCCTAAAGCAAAAACGATATTAAAATTTATAAAACAATTTTATCTTCCTCCCTCCCTCACCACCTGACCTCTTCTTTTGCTCTTCCCTGCCTCCACCACTCCCTTTCCTTCTGCCCTTGCTGCTAAACCCAAAAACCAACAAGGTAACTTGATTTCACACCAAGTTTGGGCCCCATTTTCCCAGAGGAAGATTCTTCATGGAAACTCCCTGTTGAGATGATACCTCTCATCAAATAAGACCTGGGAAGAGGTCATTTCTAAGGTCCCAAGCTTTCATAGCTGCAAGACTGTTTTTGGAATGAGATGTTCTCATTCATCCAGACTCCTTTGATGTGGAATCTGTAGTCTTTTAATAAAGACTGGCTAAAGATTGCCACTGCATCTATGAAAATAATGTCTAAACTAATTACAAGTCCTAGCTATTTATTAAATAGGCGACTCACAGACTGTCTCTTGAATAGTTTTATTGGCTTGATTTGAAAGTGATCAAACTATATAACTTTAAGTGCATTCTGTCTTTCCAAATGCTCAGTAATTCAAACTGGTTTTTCTTTTGGGTTTTTTTATTATTATTATTTTTATTTCGTTGCTTATTTTTTCTTTTCTTTTCTTTCTTTTTTTTTTTTTTTTTTTTTGTCGAGACAGAGTCCCACCCTGTGCCCCTGAGCAGAGTGCAGCGGCTTGGTAGTTCACTGCAACCTCCCACTCCTGGCTTGTGGGTATCCCGCTGCCTCAGCCTCCGGAAGCTGCTGGGATTATAGGCGCTCGCCACGGCGCCCAGCTGGGTTTTTCCATTTTTTTCATGAGTCAGGGTCTCACTTTCGCTCAGGCGAGTCTCGAACTCCTGAGCTCCAGCGATTCTCCCTCCTCAGCCTCCCACAGTGCTGGGATTACAGGCGTGAGCCACCGGGCCCGGCCCTTTTTTCTAAACTAACCTGAATTTGTAGGGTTTCACCTACCTGATTATGCAGCACTAAAATTCTTTTAGATCAGTTTCTAAAGGTAAATTTTGAATTCTGGGGGAGACTGTATTGAAAATCCCACTTGATAACTTAATTCCCAAAGATGACTCTAAAGAAATGTGCCTAACAGATGACTCAATGCATTATTAGTGATTGACTTAAAAGGAAGCGAGATTGGAACCTGTGAACCCATGTCCCTGCCTCGTCAATGTCTTCGTGATGATCAAGAAATCAAGTAGCCCCTTCCATCAATATCACAGGATTCAGGGGGGCGGATTCAAAAAAGATTTTCTTAAAAGAAAAACGTCATGTAACAAAAAGTAGATTTCCTCAGCCTCTGTGCCTTTATCTCAGATCAGAATCCTGTTTGATGCCTTCAGATAAAATGAGAAAAGAAGGGTGACATAGACCATTTAACATAATGACAAAGCGTCTTGGAAAAAGACAAAGGAGTTTTTTCAGATAAAAGACAGTTTTTAAGAGTGGTGAAAGAGGAAAAGAGTTCTGCTGCAGATACTGTTTATTCAAGCCTGTAATTTAAAAATATTTCTATCCCATACTGGCACTGTGGATGAGGAGCTTTTTTTGGATTGTTTCTTTGCCCATTTTTGCCCTGACAACGGTGAAATCTTTTGGAGATGTCTTCTTTTGTAATGTGCCAATGTTTATGTATCTTTTATAGACGGAATGTTGACAGTGCCCCACAGTAAACCATTTTTTTAGAGAAGACTCTCAAAGCTTTTTAATAGCTGCCCAAATAGTGAACTAGGAGAATGACTTAGCTTCTTACCACATGGGCTAGTTCATCACCTCAAAGCACTGAAAAATGGACCCAGTTCTTTTCGTGATGCCAAGAAACATGTCTGATATTGATTTATAAAAGTAAGAGCTCTGCTCACCATAAATCATCAATGAAATATATGTTCTTATTTATTCTCCGAAACATCTCTTTGTTCAGCTCACCTGTAAGAGGATTTTTTTTGAAATAAGTAAACTATTTTAAATGTCTTCAAGTTCACTTCTAAGAGTTAATTTTTGTCACTTTTTAAAACTAAGGAACCTGGCATCTTTACAGTTACTCAAAGTAGTTCCCTATGATATGTGGAAATGGGCTTTATGATAGCTTAGGGGAGGCCAACATCTTGAAAAGGATTTGATCCATGAAGTGCCCCAAAAAAAGTCATCAGAGGAAGGCCACAGAAAAGATGGCACCATGAAGAGGCGAGTTAGCACCTTCAATTCTTTTTCTTTTTAAATCAGCAAAGTATAAATTATCTCATTCATTCCAATAAAAGATGCACAAAGTAGCCTTTTGAAGAAGTGGGTGTTACCCTTGTGCCTGGTTTCTCCACCTCATTCTCTTCTTAGTGACGCCAGACTCCTCAGTATGATCCCTGCCCTGCCCCGCCCCCACCCCTGGAACATGGCTCAGTGTCAGAGTATGGAGGGGAAAGGGCCTCCCAGCTTCAGAGACAGTGGCAGTTTTTCTGTCAGTGTAGCCGCAGTCAGCATGCTCCCTGGACGTCTCGGACTTTAGCGTTTCCACAGGGAAGGAAACACGGCCTCCTCTGGGAGGTGTGCTCTCCGCCCCCTCTCCCTGTCCGGGACATACATCTTCTTGCTGGGAATCCCCAGGTTTCTTTTACCTTCTTTTGCCGTCCCTGAACAGAGGACCACAGAGATGACGAGGGGTTCACAGAGAAGCCTGTATTTCCTTCTTGTGGCATTCTCGGACTGTCATGCTTTCCCGGGATTTTCCCACCCTGAACACCCACGAAAATATCTCAATTATAGCTCAGCGGCCAGGGTACCCACCACATACACCAAGGCAGGCGGGTGTAAATCCGGCCCAGGCCAGCCAAACAACAATGACAACTGCAACAAAAAATAGCTGTGCATTGTGATGGGCACCTGTAGTCCCAGCTACTTGGGAGGCTGAGGCAAGAGAATCACTAAAGCCCAAGAGTTTGAGCTTGCTGTGAGCTGTGATGCCACTAGAGTGACACAGTGAGACACCGTCTCAAAAAAAAAAAAATCTCAAATAGCTGCCTCATGTGTGATGGTGAATCTTATCACAGTATATCAACATCAATCAAACTAATGATCATAAAACCTAAATGAAACACAAATTTTGCTATTATACCTTAAAAATGAAAATAATAAGAGGATTTGCACACATGCCCATGTAGCAAATCCATTTGTCTCAAAAACCATTTCCATTTTATTTTGCTTTGCCCAACATAAAATCCTACCTTGGACCCTTTCATTGTTAGACAGAACTTTTGTGTCTGAGTGAAGAATAAACAAGTGGGTGTGTGCACATACTCAAAGCCAAAGAACATTAAACAAGGTAATAAGGTGCTGCTCTAGGTCAACTGGTTTTTCAGTCCCAGAACTTATAGAACAAAATTAGAGGCCCACTTAAAGCTAGAGTGAAGGACATCTATCAAATCTTGGTTTGCCTTGCTATTATACCGAAACAGAATGAAGAGTTTTTTTGAGGGATGGGTGGGAGGGGGACTATTTATAATATATTGATCCAAGACATTGAAATTATAGCGTAAAATTCTTACCTAAAGGTAACAATGGAAGGGTATTCAGCAAAATCCCTTGGGTGAAGGACTCAACTCCAACTCCAACTTAGCCTGATGAATGCAAACAATGTAACCTAATCACTTGGACCCCCGTATTAATCTGGAATTTTAATTTAAAGCATAAATAAATAAGACAATTAAATTCACTTCGTTTTACATCCTATAAGCATTTAAGTAAATGAGTTGTGGAGCGTGACTCCTGGATTGCAGACCAAATTCCAGCATGTACTTACCAAGTAATTTAACCTGTCTGAGGTTTAGTCTTAATCCCTTCAATGGAGATGTTCAGAGCACTTCCCTTCTGAGGTTTTGGGGAAGACAGAAGGCTAGGGAATGCATCCACAGCATTTTGCAGCATGGCCCTCACAATAAGTGCTCACTGCTATTAGTTTTTGCACAACGGAGTATAGTTGCCAAGACTTGGGGATCAGGCCCAGAATGGTTCTACTGTAGCACAGTCTCAATAATATTATATAAAACACCCAGACCTAGAACTAGATGGTGCCTTCAGATGCTACAGTGACACTCTCTCATGCCTTAAAAAAAGGAAGAAACATACTGAACTTGTAGGTGTTATGTCTATAGATACTAGAGAAAAGCAATGTTATAAAAGGAAAAACCTTAATGCAGTGAGCTATGGGAAATTTTTGGTAGAAAACCTGGAATTTTCTACTCCTCAAGTACTTTTGTTTAAAAAGCTAGGTGAACTGGCCGTGGCCATCTCTAGAGTCAAAAACAAGAATTAAACTAAATCTCTAAGGGCAGCTAATGAGTCTATTTATTTACTAGATGATTAAGTTGTTAATTAATACAGTATTATAAACATCTAGCTTGTTTCTTTATTAATAGTTCTTGGATCTGATTCTATTATTTCCTATTATAAAATAGCAAAGCTTCTTATAGTTTAATTTAGCAACACAATTATGACACTATATGAAATAAAATAATATAATTTATGTTATTCAAAGTTTAGAAAAATTAAAAAGCAAGCACTAGATTTTTCTATTAGTCTCTTTTCCTTGAATAAATGCCAAGAAAAGCATTGACCTTATAATCATTTGCCATCTTCTTCAGCTCAGATTTAGAATTCTCTAGATCCCTTTGAGCCAGTTGTCCCATATTTGAGTGAGTAGAGTTAGAGGTCCACATACAGCTTACGGTCGAAGGCAATTCATGTCATAGTTATGCTAACACAAAATTCCAGAATTATTTATTTTTCTAAAAGATGAACCTATGGTCTCGGGTCTTTCTTTTTTGTGTAGGGTTTCTTTAGAAGAACCATTCAGAAAAATCTCCATCCATCCTATTCCTGTAAATATGAAGGAAAATGTGTCATAGACAAAGTCACCCGAAATCAGTGCCAGGAATGTCGCTTTAAAAAATGCATCTATGTTGGCATGGCAACAGATCGTAAGTAGACCTTCATTTGCTTTGTATTCAAGGAGTGTCGGCTGGGAAAGGGTTTGGTTCTAGGAGATCAACCAGACAGAAAAGAAGGCAGGAACTCAACGTGGACAGAGAGGGGAATTCCTTGCTTCCCCAAACACCTCCAGGGTTGCCCTGAAAAGGAGATGGGAGCCATTGCTGCATGGTTTCCACCCTACTCTTCTCTTATCAACTCCTAACTCTCAAAGTATCCATATATAACGGGGAAGAAAAAGTGATTAAATTATCCCCAGCTGGTTTGCAGGACTGACTGTTAGCAACACTCTGTTTACAGCAGAGGTCCTATCCATTTACCTTGATAACACAGCCTTTCCCACACTGCATTCATGTGGTGAGAGCCTCTCTGACTAGTCCTAATATTTTTGCAAAAGCAGAGACAGGAATTCATTTCATGGACATTTTTGGAGATGGGGTACTGGCAGAAAACATTGTGTTCGGAAATTTCTGAAGAATGCAAAGTTGAGTGCTCTTGCATGAGTCATCCTGTGGTTGGCTGTTTGTTATATTTTTAGTAATAAAGACATTCTGAGCTGAAGTTGTCCTCGCCAGTTTTCAAAGTGCTATAGCATATGGTGGGGAGATTAGCCCTGGGGGGTCTCTTCTCCCAACACTGGGTAAGAATTTACACATCACTTGACTTTAACCATAAAAATAAGAATCATGTCATTCAGAATACGAGGCCTCCCTTTTGCCAGGAATTGGTTTTAATGGTTTCTTCTGGCATAATAAAGTTTTTGCACATTAGTGAGAGATTCCAACTGTTAGTTAAAAAGAAAAAATGAAAGGGAACAAAGAAAAAAAGAGGATTTTTCCTGATGGAAGGAAATGATCATGGCTTATATTTATATGATAAATAAGATTGGGGGGCAAAAAAAAAAGTCCTTTCATATTTCATTAGAGAAGACAGAATAAAGAATCTATAAAAAGGAAGAGGGTGCATGAGGATGGAAGGCTGGAAAGCCTGAGCTATCCCAACCTGTGGCCGAGTTTGTCCTTTATCATTTAAAGGCTTCCAGCCCTTACCAACAAGCTGGCTAATGAGAACAGGTGACTCTGATTGACTTAGAACCCAATGCTTAGATATGTAACTACCATAAACTGTTGTTATGGGATATATATTTCATTGTTTCATTTTGAGATTTAAGATATGAATATTTATGAAGTTTAAAAGCTCATTATTAATCTGGACTGAAGAAATAGATCCTGTGTGCCCCTTGCTTGTGAGGCATTATAAGAGCTCAGGCTCTATAATCAGAAAAGCTTCTGTTCAGGTCCCAGATCTGTCACTTGCTAGCTGTGTGACCTTCAGAATTAAGCTCTAGGTTTCCCTTCTGTGAAATCATTGCCACCTTGTAGGGTTGCTTCAGGATTAAATTAGGTAATGCACATCAAATGCAGCAACCCCTGGCACCCTGGAAGCCTTGTGGAGATGGGGCTGTGGGTGTGACTACCCATTCCTCCTCTTCCTTTAGTAAACAAACAAAAATGACCTAACAGGACTCCTCATGCTGTCTGGACTGGTCAATGCTCACATGACTTTGACAATCCAATCAAAACTAGATGATCTGGGATTGAACACTCTATTCGTGGATTAGCTGGGCACCTGGGTTCTCTTCCTCCCGCTATGTTGGCTCTTTTTCTTTTCCTACCAGGTCACACCTTCATCAAGACAGTGAGGACAATGATATTGTAGACCTGGAGTCAGGAGTCCTGGGACTTACCTTGGCTCTGCCAGGAATTTGCTGTGTGACTTTGGCAAAGCACAGCCTCTCTGGATCAGTTTTCTCCTCTGTGAGAGGAGACTGTTGGACTAGATAATATCTAAGATCTCTTCCAGCTTCAACATACTATGACTCTCTAATTTAAACCTGAGCCTTTTAAGCCTAGTGAAATGGCTTTGTTTTGGAAAATAACCACAGAAACATAGATTTCTTGCTACCTGCCCTTCTTGTTTTCCTCTTGCCCAAAGATAAAAGTCACAACTACATTTACTGAGCGCTTATGGTGCATTTTCACATTGAACACCATGTGAAGTGAATATTATTGATCCTATTTTATATAGAAAGAAATGAAAGATCAGAGAGCCTAAGGAACTTGCCAAAGGTCACACAGCTAGAATGTGATGGTGTCAGGAATCAAACCCAAGTCTTTCTAGCTTCCACAGCCAGGGCTCTTTAACCACCGCCAATGGTTGACCTGACCAGGTAGAGAACAATGCCATACAAGTGCCTGTGTGGCCCAAGAGAGGCCCAGTCACATTCCTGTTGGCCCAGAGGGGAGCCATGAAGAGTTGGGGGCCTTTTCCTCTGAGGAGGGGATCATGAACCTCCCATGTCCTGCTCCCATGACTTTTCTTTAACCTGATGTCCTCCTTCCAAAAGCACCATTTTAAGGCAGGAGGGGAGAACAGAACTGAGAGTGAATGCAGATGACAAGCTGGACAGACTTGTCTGGGATCCTGCAGTTAGTATGGATTTTGCCTCCCTCTTTCTTAGGGCCACTAGAATCGGGGTGCCCAGAGTCCTGGTTCCTCGGGGCTTCATTTTGAAAGGTGGCTGGGTGTAGGAAATCTGGCACCAGAGCTCATGTTGGACAATGATAGTCCATAGCAAATGGCTGGTGAGGAGGGGAGTGCCCCAGTGTGACCCGCCTCACAAGGCCATGTGCATCAGTGGCCTTGCAGCTCCAGGACCAGTGTCTGCCCCTGGCCTTGGGGGTCTCTGTGCCTCCTCTCACTCTCCCCCCCACCCCTGCAGTGGTGCTGGATGACAGCAAGAGGCTGGCCAAGAGGAAGCTGATAGAGGAGAACCGGGAGAAGAGGCGGCGGGAGGAGCTGCAGAAATCCCTCGGGCACAAGCCGGAGCCCACGGATGAGGAATGGGAGCTCATCAAAACGGTCACGGAAGCCCACGTGGCCACCAACGCCCAAGGAAGCCACTGGAAGCAGAAGCGGAAATTCCTGGTAAGGCTTTCTTGCCTGGCTCGGTGTCAGTGAAGCGCCAGGTGCTTTCTGCCTCGACCCATTAAGTCCGCATCACCCTGGGCTTTTGACATTACTGCCCCATTCTAGTGACAGGAAAACTGCAGCTCTGAAAGGTCAAGTAACTTGCAGGGCTGGGATTGGGATCCAGGTCTGTATGAGAATAAGGGCCTTGCCTACCTGCCAGGGGTGTCCAACCTTTTGGCTCCTTTGTACCACACTGGAAAAGCAGAGTTGTCTTGGGCCTTAAGTACACAAACACTAACAAAAGCTGATAAGCACAAGAGAAAAAAAAGGGTCCATACATAATTGTCATGATATCGGCCACCACAGGTAAGCAAAAAAGTCCTCACGCAATCAGCATGCAGTCCACTGGCCTTGGGTTGGACACCTCTATCAGCGGTGTCTTAGCCCACATTACCTCAGTTTGACTAGTTTGGGACAAATTAGTTAGTAAAAATTTTTCCTGCCCCATTTTCCTTTTTATGCCCATTTCTTCCCTTGGATGCCCAGTATCCTCTAAAGTCACTCCAAAATACCCCCTTTAGAATAAGCTCTAAATGAAGTATCCTATCCCCCAAGGATATTTTTATGTCAATATAAGTCAATAATTTTGGTTTAAAATAAATGAATTTGAGTCCAGGAAGACAATGTGCATGGGGGTATAGGATGGGGGATGGGAGGGGGAAGTAAGTAGAGAAAATGAACTTTCCTGGACACTTGGAATATGGATGTTTGACATTTTTACAAAAATTAACAGTTGTCAAAGTCCTTCCCATTTCTCATTTGGACTTCATTGTGCTGTGAGGGAGGCTGGAATTACTGTACTCATTGTACAGATACGTAAAGCAAACCCCAAGGCCTTGAGTGGCTTGGCCAAGGTTCCACTGCCAAAAGCCAGACCCAAAAGCCAACCTAGGTCTTCTGGTTGCAAGTGCAGGCCCTCTACCCACCTCGTGGAATACCTGCCCCAGCTGCTGACTGACCATCTCTGCACCAACTGACCACTGCACCTGCTCTTCATTTACGACATGAAACCCTTTGTGAGCACCTCACTGAACCCTGATTGGATACTCTCTGGGGCCAGTCGTACCCCTAGGGGACACTGGAATACTTCCCTATCTAAATAAGAATGTTTGGTGGGCTCAGCACCTGTAACTCAAGTGGCTAGGGTGCCAGCCACATGCACCAGAGCTGGTGGGTTTGAAATCCAGCCTGGGCCTGCCAAACAACGACAGCTACAACCAAAAGAGTAGCCAGGCGTTGTGGTGGGCCCCTATAGTCCCAGCCACTTGGGAGGCTGAGGCAAGAGAATCGCTTAAGCCCAAGAATTTGAGGTTGCTGTGAGCTGCGACACCACAGCACTTTACCCAGAGCAACAGCTTGAGACTCTGTCTCAAAAAAAAAAAAAAAAAAATGTTTGGTGGTATAATTATCCTTGTACCTTAAAGTCAACATAATGAGATAGGGTTTTTCCTTGTTGTTGCTGTTGTTAAAACAATACAAAATAACCTTACAGGAAATTTTAGAAAGAAAAAGTTTACCCATATTGTACCTGCTCTTTTAATTACTTCCATTGTCGTAAAACAGTAATGCCAGCACTTCACTGATGGCTGGCTTCCACTAACAGCAATGTTAGCAAACACTTAGATGGCCCTTACTATATGCCAAGTACTATACCTTTATTTATTTATTTATTTTTAAGACAGTGCCTTGCTCTGCTGCCTTGGGTGCAGTGGCATCATCAGAGCTCACTGCAACCTTAAATTCCTGGGCTCAAGCTATCCTCTTGCTTCAGCCTTCTAAGTAGCTGGGACTACAGGCAACCATCATGATACCCAGCTAATTTTTCAAAGTTTCATAGAGACAGGGTCTTGCTTTCGCTTGGGCTGGTCTCAGATTGCCTGAGCTCAAGCAATCTTCCCAGCTGAGCCTCCTAGAGTGCTAGGATTACAGGCATAAGCCACCTCACTCAGCCTGCCAGGTACTATTCTAAGCACTTTTCATACATTAACTTCCTATACAACCCTGTAGGTAGATGGCAGTTCATATCTTCATTTTACAGAAGAGAGAACTAAGACAGAGAAGTTAAGGAAACTCCCCCAAGTTCCCACGGCTAGTGAGTGGTGGTGATGGGTACAGCAAGCTCCAGGGTCATGCCCCTCCCCTCTCTCCTGTGCAACCTCGGCACCTGCACTGAGCCAGAAAGCCTCTGACAGACACAGGCTCTTTGGAGGGGCAGCCTCTTAGTGCCTTCCTCTGTGCATCTTCACCCCTATTCTGGTATATCCCACCCCACCACCCCACCAGGAAATCCAAAAACACTAATTCTGGATCAGTAGACCAGTTCTAACCTAATATGTTAGGGGCATAGCAAGATAGAGTCCTGCCTAATCCATCCTTTTCCTGTAGGTGGCAGCCATAAATGGACATTGTAGGAACTGCTTCGGCCTGGCACTGCTTCTGATTTCAAGTAGTGACCAGGCTGAGTTCCAAGCAAGATGGAGGATTCAGAGCATGCCCCCACTTCTCCTAGAGAAATTGAAACCTTTATTTTCTTTACTCCCAAAGGAGAATGGGTACTAATTTAACTAAACCAGTTTCAGTGGTCACTAAAGTGCTTACTAAGCAGCTACTGTGCTCCAGGAAGTGAGCAAGTCAGCCACATTCTAGTAGGCAGACATAAGGTTTAAACAGACAAGTGTGGTGGTGGTAAGTGCAATGAAGACAATAAACAGTGTGACAGGACGGAGCGTTCGTCAACTGGAAGTGGGTGGTCAGAAGAAGACCCTCTGAGGATGTGACAATTGGACTGTGCCTAGAAGCTGAGAAGCCACCTTTTTTCTTCCAGATTAATGCAAAGGTATAAACACTTCTGTAGTTCGCATTTGTAAGGTTAAAGTACAATTTGTAGGTATGTCCCACACCCATGTAGTGTGCCATATACCCGTGCAGTGTGCGCATTGGATGGGAATTTACCCAACCCCTTCTCCTCGTTCCCTCGCCCCCTGCTTGAATTTCATGGAGTTTTTCTCTCATGTGAGCAGGTAGGTGCAATCTACTAATTCACATCGATTACTGGATACATGTGATGTTTGTTTTTCCAATCTTGTGATACTTCACTTAGAAGAATGGTCTCCAATTCCACCCAGGTTGTTACAAAATCACATAATCTGCATCGTTTTATGGCCAAAGAGTATTCCATGGTGTACATACACCATAATCTATTAACCCATTCCTATGTTGAAGGGAACTTGGGTTGTTTCCACATCTTTGTGGTTGTGAATTGTAGAGAAGCCACCTCTTAAAAGCAAAATATAATCAAATCTCTTCATGCTGCATAGTTTTTTTAGCAAAGACGGCATAATATCTAAACATTAGAATCATCCTTGAGGTCTGCACCATTAACATAAAGGCTCCTAGCAGTTTTTGTCAGTCTGATCGTCTACAGAAAGAACAAAAAAGGTATAGCATGAAATGATTTGCCGTTAGATTTTTGTCAAGGCCATGAGATTATCCACACATGAGAGTTTTCTTCAGGAAGCTGATATTGGCAGGGTGAATGTTTCACCCATTAGCCTCCCCTCCCCCATGGAGCTGGAATGAAATGCATTGTAGCAGCTTGTATAGCCTGTGGCTAGAAGGAGTGAGAGTTATAGGAAATACCTGTAACGGAACACCTTGGTGAAAAGGGCATGGAGAGAGCTTTGGTTCTAACTAGCATGAGAGAGCTCCCGAGATGAGAGCATTGGTGAATTGGCAGTCTCTACACCTGTGGTGGTGAGAGGCACAAGCTCAGCCTTATATTAGGCTGGAGGAGAAGGCAGTCCGGAGCATGCGCATTCTATCACGGATCCTCTTACTGACTCTGTCTCCTCTCCTGCCTGCAGAACGCCAGCACGGCGTCTCTCTGCTGAAGATTACCAAGCTCTGCTAAAGACTAAGGTCTATCTGTTCTAAGAGGACTGCTTTACTCTAAGACACACTTTCTCTCTCCAGCTAAAGTAGATAGCCCTCAAACACCTAAGAGAAACTGTTCCTGAGCAAGGTAGCTTAGCGGTCCGTGTCCAGAACCTGCCTAAGCTGGGCCCAAGACCTGGCCAGTCCCGGGCCCTGACGAGGGGTGTCAGAAGTAGATCCTAACAATGCATCTTTTTTTTTTTTTTTGAGACAGAGTCTCATTATATCGCCCTCAATAGAGTGCAGTTGTGTCACAGCTCACAGCAACCTCTAACTCTTGGACCTAAGTGATTCTCGTGCCTCAGCCTCCCAAGTAGCTGGGGCTACAGGTGCCTGCCACAATGCCTGGCTATCTTTTTGTTGTAGTTGTCATTATTGTTTGGCAAGCCCTAGGCTGGGTTTAAATCCACCAGTCCTGGTGTATGTGGCCAGTGCCCTAGCCACTGAGCTACAGGCACCAAGCCATGAAATGCATCTTTTGCAGGTCTTTGATCTGTTCAAGAAAGTGTCCCTCTTGATCCCAATATAAATAACTTTCTCTAAGCTATTTTTGCTTTTTTGTGTGCTATTTTTTTCTTAAGGTAATATGTAATATCAGGGAAATCAGCTACTCTGCTGTCCTATCTGTCTCTACAAGGAACTTTATTTCTGTCTGCCAAGCCCCTTCCGTGCCTGGGATTACCCCTGCACCTCCCTGGGGGTGGATCGCACTTCATTCAGCACTGACACTTGAGTTTCCATGTGTGGGTGACACTTTTGGTAGCTTGTCTTCAAGATGGCTGCCAGCAAATTCTTTACTCCCTATATGTACAGCCCAGACTCTCCCGTGTAGAGGTAAGTCTGTTCCTCTCTCCAGTAGGAGAGGTCTGAGATCCCTTTAAACAGTGGATTTTGGCAAAGGTGATACTTGAGTGACTTCTAAGCCTAGGTCATAAAAAACCTTGAAGCTTCCATTTGGGTCTCTTGGAGGGGGAAGTCACCTGGTCTCTCACAGCAGTTGGCTGTGTAAAAAAGCCCCACTA